CAGAAACTCGAACAAATAGGCTTTAACAAGGCTTTAATAAGCTAAACAATGGAGGTACATGAGAAAACGTGTTCATAACAAACGGAAATAAATAATTAAATAGTGTCCGTGCCYSTCTCAAACCCTGGTCTCCCACTCTCTGGTCCAACACTCTACACATTGCCGTATTGGAGACTTGTTGTGAACTGATCTGCGCATTGCACAACAACACGGTGACGACTTTTTATAGTGAAGAGGTGGAGTCTCATCCGGGGGTTGCTAGGTAAGGWGCTGAACGCAGGTTCCGYTGGATTGTCGTACGGCTTGTGACATCACAAAATGACGGAAGTATAAAACTTGTCGTTAATATACATTAAAAATACATTTACTTACAGTAAATATGCCCCTGGGTGCATTTTTTTGGTCCTAGGACTGTTTTTTTTAGAAGTAAATACCCAAAGTCAGTAAAAAAACCTTTAAAAAGTGAATTTTGCATAATAGGTCCCCTTTAAATACCTTTATTTCATAAGCATTGTAGAGCCATGACTATTTAGWTAGTTCAGAGTGAGCAGCATTTCAGCCTGTATTTGTTATTTCTTGTTATGTAATGTGAACATTTAGCTAAAGTGTATTTTTTGTCTGTGTATCACAGAAACCACACCTTTCTCCATCCATAATTCCACTCACACCTGTCCACCGATTTATGTTTAACAAAGGCTGTATGTTTGTTAGAAAACATTCAATACAACAAGTTAAAGCATRTCTGCCTCCTCATTGTGTGCACCAACCCCATCTTAAATCCTCCGGCCTAAAAGTGGTGTTCTGGCCGACACTCCAGAGTCYTAACAACTGCAAAATACGTTCTAGCCCTTACAGTCGGACAAAGTGAAGCTACCTAATCCACAAAAATTGTAAATTCACARTGAAGGCATCAAAACTATGAATTAACACAGGTGGACTTATATACTTAACAAAAAAGTGTGAAACAACTGAAAATATGTTTTATATTCTAGGTTCTTCAAAGTAGCCACCTTTTGCTTTGATTACTGCTTCACACACTCTTGGCATTCTCTTGATGAGCTGTCATTACCAGAAAGTCCTGAAGAAGCTCAATGTTTGGATATTGAAATTGGTGAAAAAACACAAAAATTGCGGAAC